TAACAAGCTCGGTACATATGATTTGTATGCACCGGCTTGAGGGGGAGTGTTAATTTACAGCATATATATAGTGTAGTATTGTCCCACATTGGTAGAGGAGTAATATGTCCTTGTATAGTATAGCTATAAATAAGGACCTCTTGTGTAGCATTATTCATTCATTCAATATATCAATAATATATTTTCTCCCGTGCCTTCTCACAATTTTGAATATGAGGAAACCATAAAGCTTCCTGGAATATTGGATATTGCCATACTTACTGCCCCTGTCTTATCTGTATTTACATTAAACTCGGGGGGGTGGGGGTGTATTCTTGCTTTGGGGACCTATTTCAATTATCATATCATCTCTTATCTATATTTAAGTAATTTCGAAGCTCGTAAACACTGAATAATTTCCAATTATGCTGGGGGAAAACTAGAGTTGCATGTGTTTCACTATTGGACAGATGGAAAGTTGTATTGAAAAAGTACCTCCTTGCACTTCCCTGGGCGTGGAGTGGGAGGGGGAAGAGGAAAGGACACGGTGTTGAAAGGATGGTTATATTCTGACATTTACCTCTAGGAGATTTTGCTATGGCATGGTTGCTGAGATCAGAAAATACTTATTTCTATCATTAATTCCTGTTCTTTATGGAGCACTTTTATTCACAAGCTTTTTGTTAGCATTTTCAGGGTATTGTAATTCACTACTGGAAGTTCAGATTTGACTTTAAGGAGTTAGGAGTAGTTTTTCTTTTTGAACTAAATGAGTTAGTAGTTTAATTGCTTCGTTTCACAAACTCATAAATTCCTATGGGTTGATTTGTATGTAAATTTTCCTTAATCCTGACCTACTCATTCACATATTTATTTCAGGCTTATTTGCTATTTGGGGATGAAGAATATCTTTTCATCTTCCAGGAAGCTTATAAGGCTGCTATGCACTATCTCTTTAATGATCCTTGGTAAGTAATGCTGCTTGCTAAGGCTTTTATTCAATACGGAGAAATCCCCATGGCTGTATTCCATTGATGTTGTTAAATCAAGAGAACTAATATAGTTATTCTTTTGGAAGTGCGTCACAACATGTCTAGGTTCGTTTAGTTCGAGTATGATTACATCTCATAGATTATTTCTAAGGATATTTTAGAACATTCTCCACTTAATTGTTAGAGAATAATAACTTCCATTATTTTGCAGTACGTAGGCTAAGGCTCCTAAATAGGAAGCCCAATGTAGTCAATAACCAATTCAAGAAATATTTTTCTTATTCTCTCCTGTATTATGAGTTGGTACTCCACAATTTAAAGTCTTACCCACCCCAAATTTTCTCTTGTTCTCTAGAACTAAAAGTTCTGTGCAAATTTGCCTTTTTCAATATGTGTAGGTACGTAGAAGTAAATATGAATTCTGCTGCCCTTGTCTGGCCTTTATTTAACAGCCTGCAGGCATTCTGGCCAGGTCTTCAGGTGATTTGGTTATGGAGATCTCTCATACTCAAGCAAACCAATTGTTTCCTTAAAATGTTATTCATAGACGGAACTAACTTTTGTGTATTTGTTGAAAGGTTCTAGCAGGGGATATTGAGCCTGCCATTAGAACACATGCTGCTTTCTTCAGCGTCTGGAGAAGATATGGGTTTACCCCAGAGGGTTTCAATCTAGCTACGCTCAGTGTTCAAGTACCACCTTACTCTTGTCTAGTTCTTTTTGATATTTTGAGTTTGTTTATCTGCTAGTTATTTTATCAATGTACTTGTGTATGTAACTTGACCTAGATATAGGCAGTGCCTGTTAGCATGAAATTGCTCCGGATGGCCTTATATGTGGTTAAAAGGAAAACCTCCATTGTATTGTTCGGTTGCCCAACTTAGCCCACATCACGAGCGAACATATAAGGTTAAGAGGTTTCATTTGGCCATCTTCATAGACATTCCTTTGACTCGTACAACTCTTTCTCCATCGGGTCATTCTGTGTAACACTTTATCATTCTTTTAGCAACAGATAAGTCGGCCATGTAAGTGGATGGAACGTTTTAGTGATAGATCATTTCTCATTGCTGTGAAATATAGACAGTAAGGCCACCACGTGAAGTCTTCTTCCATTTCCTTGAATTCTTTGTGCATTGATCTTGTTCCTTCTATTGCCCCTTCTTGTGCTGACTGGGCACCTGATTGCTATTGCTGGTGTGGTTGGGAGTGGTTGTTTACTGTATTGTCACTTATCTTATGTTTTATTGTTTTTTTGCTTACAATATAGCAAGGCCAGAAAAGCTATCCTCTGCGTCCGGAATTGATTGAGAGCACATATTGGCTGTACAAAGCTACCAGAGATCCCAGGTTGGTGTGTTTGCTTTTGAATTGTGTTTTTCTTTTGCTTTCATTTTTCACTAGTAAATTAAACTCAGAACATTATTGGATGATTGGTCACTGCCTTTTTCATGATTGTATCATGTGAAGACTATCTTTAGGCACGTGCAATCTTCAAAGGGTTAGGTTTTTACTTATTTGTTTTGCAGTCTATTCAATCTTTTAACAAAGCTGAAATTAAATGGAAATCACAACCAGGAAAGATATTACAGTATGGATGTGCTGTATATCCAAGTTAGCAGAGTCATTCATTCTAGGAACGGAAGATCACGTCTTTCTTGCATGACATTGACATCTTTTAGCCCATACATGTGAGCTCATCAGATACACAGGAAAGCCGTCTAAAGGACAATTTACTAGTCTTTCCCCCCAGAATGACCCAGACAAAGATTCCCTCTGAAGAAATCCTTTTTAGATTTCCTATTGGCAGTCCTTATCAAGTTTCCTATCTATGATCGTTGTGACATTAGTTATAGCCTGGACGTTGAATTTGGATGTGTGTGAAGGTAACCTCATAATTAGGATTTATTATTACTTGTCTGGGGCACCCAGGAGGGCCAAATAGACACATAGCAAAAACTCAAACTCCTACAAACGAAGGGAGTTGAGGAAATCAAGTGTCTATATCGTATACATCTAACATGTTACACCAAAAAGCCAAAAGAAAACTCAGTTTGAATATATGGTTCTGCTTTATCTTCAGAGCATCCTTGGTTTCCTTTTCTGTCCGACGGACCAAAAAGCAGTTTTCCTGCAAACCCTTTTGTAGGTGGATAATACTTTCTGTTTCAACTTTCACACATATAGCATCTGTTGCTTAACTGCAGCCCCTTTTTCTGCAAGTTCTCTTAGGTCAAACAGGATTCATGAGCCACTAGCCAAGAGAAGCATATCACTTTAGGAGCATCTTTTCTCCAAATCTATTTCCAAGGCCAAAAGGAGATCTGATCTGTCCCTTCGGTTAATGTGTTGTAACAAGATTTAACAGTAAAAACATCTTCGTTTTGTGCTAGAACTTTCGTTCCTTGCATGATCAAAAGAGATTCCAGAAAGGGTGAGAGAATGGTTAATGATTATGCACAGTTTGAGTAAGCTGCACGGTCATTGCTACACTGAAAAATTCGATTTCAATTATTTAAAACTCTTTCTTTCTTTCTTTCTTTCTTTCTTTCTTTCTTTCTTCATTGAGTGCTTTCCCTTCTTGGATAGCAATTTAATCAATACACTCAGACTTCAAGGGTTCGAGCCTTATGTTTCTTTTAATTACATCTATTGAATCATTTTGATGTAGGTATCTTGATGCCGGAAGGGATATGCTAGCTAGCTTGCAATATGGTGCCCGATGCACTTGTGGATATTGTCATATATCCGATGTTGAATTTCACAAACAAGAAGATCACATGGAGAGCTTTTTCTTGGCAGAAACTGTAAGGAATAAGGCTCAATTTTATTTGACCATGTTCTGTCTGTGGTATATCAGTTTATTCCTGTGTCTTGTTTAGACAATAGAGTGATTATGAGGGACTACCTACATGAATATATATGGGGGTATTATGAGGATCGAGGACACTGGAAAAAGTAAAGGCACAGGAGAATAATTTTCATTTGCCCTCGAATTAATTCTTAATTTCAACTTTAGTCCTTTAATTAGTGAACAGACTTTTTACCTTGACATAATGAGTGGGTCAAGCACATTAAGTCCCTTTGCTGCAGGAGTCAGCCAACTGACGGAAATTAATAGCCCATCCAGCTTCGCTGAACCTCCTGACCCTACAAACTTTCGCTTACGCTCTGCAACCTTAACTCTAAATCTCCAAAAAATTATTCCCAACACAATGTGAAGCACTTAAGGAAACATTGATGTATAATGGGTTTGTGGTTGGGCATATTGTAGAAGTCTAACTTAGTGACGAGATTAAGGTAAATATGATTTCTCTTGTAACTTCTAGGGCGAGCTAATTCAAAAGTCAGTAAGGGCTGGCAAAAAAACAGATCACATTGGTGGATGAATGATATGTCTCAGTTGTGTGTTTGCACACCGCTTTTCTGCTGTGAACTATTCACAGTTTTATGACTAGTGGCTATGTGTGAATAGTGAAGGTGATCTTGTAATCTGATCTTAGCTGAGCGTAAGTGGAGTAACCTTATCGTGTTTTATGTCATATTACTTCTCTTTTATCTATGAAATAAGGTAAAACATCTTTGCACTAATAAATTGATTTATGTCATTGATTTAACCATGATTTGTTTCTCCGGTCCTTACATTGTTGATATCATTTTCCTGGCCTTGTTGTTGTTATTTACTTGTTCCTATTCTTCCTCTCGAGCCGAGGGTCTTTCGGAAACAGTCTCTCTGCCCTCCAAGGTAGGGGTAAGGTCTGCGTACACATTACCCTCCCCAGACTCCACTTGTGGGTAAGGTCTGCGACTCTGCGTACCATGATTTGAGTTGGCTTGAACCAATGCATGATTACACTTGACAATCTCTCTTTCTCTCTCTCTCTTAATTATAATTGTTTTTTTTCCTGTTCCGTGTATTTGGATACTTCTCTAATTGATATTTTTTCAGGTTAAATATTTGTGGCTTCTTTTTGATTTAGCTGCTGGTCCAGATAACCTGGTTGAGAATGGCCCATACAAGTAAATTGTCTATACCATCGCTTGTATTCATTGTTTATTTTATTCTTTAAAGTTTCTGCACTGCCCTTCCTCCTTCCCCATGCAAAGACAGAAAAAAGAAATGTGTCCAAGAAAAAATTAGAAAATTCACCACTTTCTGTTTCTTTTCCTTATTTCTTTAAATCTTCTCCATCTTCCTTCTACTCACTCAATATTTTTGGCATTTCTTTTAATTTTAAAGGTATATTTTCAGCACAGAAGGTCATTTATTGCCTGCAACTCCTCAAATATCCTTAGTACGCGAGCATTGTTCCTACTTCGGAGCATATTGTAGGAACATCAAGTTGATACTGAAAACTCATGCACCTGAGAGTGCAGAAACTAATTCCAGTCACTCTCAAACACAACCTGCAGATTCAAGTTTCTTATCGCGCTCCAATTATCAAAGTTCCCCATTTATAACTGGTTTGATTAAGGTCAGAAATTTAAAAGGTTCTTATTGACTAATTCCTATTGAACGTTTAGTTCAATCATTGGGAATTTGCTAACATGAAATTCCCCGTATTTTGATTTTAGTTTAGCTAATTAAGCATGACGGTCCGATGAAAAGTTGGACATAAGTCTTAGTTCTTTTTCTTTATTTTAGAACCAATTTGCAAGATGCGCTTCTTATATTGGCTTTGTACAGCTTGATCTTCAAGTTGAAATTTTGCAAACTAAAGTTTCCTAATACTGCTTCAAATATCTGCAGTTCAATAGATATAATTTTTTTTTTATGAAGATAAAATATTTTGTAGTTTGACTTGGATATTTGTTTGGTAGAAGAAATGTTAAAGTAATTCTTGTAGCGTGCGTGTGAAATTTGATTTGACTTGGAAAAAATCACATGATAGTTTAAGGTTGAATTCTTTAGCTAAGTTTGAAGGCTTGCAACCTTTTTGTGTGTGTGATTACTGATTAGTACTATTTTTCTTATGATGTGGAATACAATGGGTCTGATAATTCTCTCAAAGAGGGTGGTAATCAAAGTAGCATTTAAAGAAATGGAGACAATTTGTGGTTTTGCTTGCAAGAGACCAAGCTGGCAGAGGTAATGAAACAGGGCTCGTAGTGCGTGTGTAACAGATGGGTTAGGTGGATTCTATAGATAAAGGGGCCGCATATAGTATATTTTTCTCATGGGGCAAAAGGTTGATGTTTATGGTCAAGGGTTAAGGTGCTTAATCGTGCAATACTGGTGAAATATAACACTAACTTGGGGGTCTATCATAAATAGGTACATCGACTTATCAAACAAAAATTAGTACTTATTGTTTTTTTTTCAAAATAGATGCACATCCACATTATTGGATTACTCTCCCTGGAGAAGATAACCTAGTGTACAAATTCCTGTATGGGCTAAACTGCTAACTTCTCTAGTATTACAGAGATCATGTTTTTCCTTTTCATAATTAGCACTATCTTCAGAAATTCAGGAAAATATACATTGGCATACTCCTATGTTATGCACTAAATGAAACAAGCTCATGGCAGTGAAGGGAGGATGGGAGGTTTCTTGTGGTAGACTTAACTCCAAATTTTTTTAGTAGTAGGGAGCTTTAATATAGTGACTGTATTTCCTTTTAATCTTCCGCTCAAGTTCTCATAGTTCCTTTTATTGCTGGAATTTTTAAAGTTATATAAGAAGGGAAAGTAATTTATTGGTTGAAATGTGTTAAATTATTTGGATGTCCTAAAATGGAAGCTGTCACATAAAATGAGGAGAGACTCCATTTCTGAACCTTGATTTAGTATCTTGTTCTATTTCATATGGATACCATGGCCAGTGACCCTCCAAACTGCTTTAGCAACACCAAAAAAAAGGAAAAGAAAAAGAGAGAGAACTAGTGAGATTTCCCATGTTACTGGAAGATTCATTTTTACTTGAATGCTGAGAGAAAATTGTTTTTTTATGATAGGGACTCTGTCCAGGGCTAACCCATGAACAAAGGTTTGGCATATCATTCATGGCTCCGGTGGATCCAAGTAGTGAGGATGAAAATTCAAGTCAAAGGGAGACAGCTGAAGTTCAGAGTCATTCAGTTGTGCTGATTTCAGACCCCAATTCTGAAATTTCCCTATCAAGTCCCCATAGTGATCATGACAATGATCCAGTTCGTGCGCCACAAGAAAAGAGCCCCTCTTCTAAAGAAAGCAGATAACCAGACTCAATGTGTAATGGAATTTAGCCTCGTTAAATTTGCTGTCCATCAAAGGACTTCCCAACTCTGGTCATGATTTGGAAGGGGGTTCAAGCTTCAACATCCTGGAAGGTGAAGTCAGGGTTCTGCTTGTATATGGTGATTTAGCTTGATACCTGTCGGTACCGAAGATGGGCACTAGTGGCAAGAGCTCAATTTGCTTTTTTCAGAGTGCCATGATTCTTAGAATGGTTTATTAGGAGTCTCAGTCATATGCATAATACACATAGAAGTATCCTGCAAGAATATATGAATCAGGAGGTGACAAAACATGCCTAACAAGGTGTGATCCAGGACTTTTTACTGTATACTAAGTTTGCTAACATTTAACTGATGCGACGGAGTTGGGCAAGACGGAATTTTCTGGTGATCCCAGATCAGAGACAGGAAGAGTGACTAATCAATTTTGTACACTTGAGATTGCTACCACAAGGTATTGATTCTGTTTTCAGTTATTTTCTACAGGCAGTGGTATTAGTTTGCCCAAATTCAAGTTTGTAAATCATGTACTCTAATAATATCAGTCAGTGCCAGATGGACTGTATTTTTGGAGTTTTTTGGACCGCATATTTCTGATTCTATAATGGAGTTTAATTTAAAATTTGTTATACTTAAAGCCGTGTGTTAGCTCAAAATTGGCTTAATAATAAAACAAGTCAGTTCCAGCTTATGAATAACTATATCCGAGAGTTTTACATCAAAAGGCTTGACCGTATAGCATAATCGANCCAATTATAATTTATATGAGTTGAGCTTGAGCTTGAGCTTATACGCATTAGTCTTTGATCATAATTTAGCAAAAATTGAGCTTTGTGACACTTCAATGTTAAACAGGCTGATAGAACAGTTCCAATGTTGGTTATGACAATGCTTATGTTTTTTTTTCCTTCTTAAAATTAAAATAATGCAATGGGGTGTGTACCATAATACATCTCAGATATTCAGCAATTGAGAAACTACCAAAAGCATTTCCACGCAACTGCCAAGAATGGAGTCTACTTCTATCAATGTCTGTAGACTAGGTAGACTTAGTTTAGTCCCTAATTAGAATTGGATGTGATTATAATTAATAGTCTAATTAAAATATCTTATAATACCAATGATTTAAAGGCTAAAATTGTTTTCCGAAAAAGAAATTAATAAGATTATAATGACCGAGCTCCCATTGCTATATATGATCATCCTATGGGGGTTAATCGGACGAGCTGGTCCTGGCTGGACACGAAAAAAACAGTCCGTCCGGTTAGTGGTTCGGGCTGGATAGTAGGCTGGCTAACCGGGCTGGTAATGGGTTGGGAAAATCCGGGTTAATTAGGGCCAGTTCGGGCTTAACGGGTTCGGACCGGGCTGAGTTACTTATTTTTTTTTTAGTATATTATGTTTTTCTTATTCAATGTTATTGATACTTAAGTATGCAAACTTTTAAGGCTTAGAATTAAACTTTAAAGTTTTAAATTTGAAATTTAAAATTTTAAAATTGAAAGTAAGTGGCTACAAAAAATTATTTAATAAAACCAATATGTAAGGATCAAACTCCGAAGGCTTTCGTTTTATATTTTCATTGAATAATAAATAATACTTCAAATTAATTTACAAGTTCTATTTTGATTTTTTTATTTTTGAACTTGCAAATTAAAAGTTTACAACAATTATAAAAAATAAGGAAGAGTACATCACATGCTTCATTTTTGTAAGTTCATCTATGTCAACATGAGGTTCTTGGTTTCCGGCATTGCTTGAATCGGAACCATAAACCATTATATCTCCAATTTCTTGGTCCTCCGCTTCATCTACCTCTTCACGCCCTTGATTTCGCTGTTATGATCTTATCCATCCTCTGAAGCACACTCGAATTTCCAAAGCGTTGTTGCCCAATGAATGACGAGTATCTCCTAATTGCTGCCTTGCTTGGCTAAATGCGCTCTTTGATGCGACTGTTGAAATCGGCACATTTAGCACACCTCGAGCCATGACTGAAAGAACATGAAATTGATTTGAGTTGCTCTTCTACCAACCCAGCGGTAGAAATTCCTTTGTGCGTGGCTCTGGTGACTTTTGCAAGTAGAATTGGAGTTCATCAATGTTCTTGCTACTGGTTTGTTGATGCTCTCCTAGTGTGGACCAAATCAAATAATCTTCAACACCATCATTATCCTTCAAAGCACGAGATGCAGATGTTGAAATCGAACTTGAAGGAATATTTGCATCTACAACAGCAGAAGCATCAACAATGTTAGCATAATAATATTATAAAGTTTGTAAATATTTGTGTAGATCATAAATACAAGTTTCAACATCAGGGGTTTCAGTTGGTCCAATATCCATATAAACATATAAAACAGTGATTAATTGATGACAAATGGTCATTTTGATAGAAGGGTTTAAAATAGCACCAATTAGGTAAATATGGGGAATTGGGTAGAAATATTTCTTAAATTTATCTAGCATAGATTCAACAACAGAAGAATATCCTTCTTTCTTCTTCAAATTATAGAGTAAAAGAGAAATTTCAGCAATATGAACTAAGCCATTTGCAATAGTAGGATAATAAGCTCCAGAAAACTCAAGTGTAGCCCCATAAAATTTTTGTAAATTTTTTACAACATCTTCAATGACATCCCAAGTTCTAGACGTTAACAGACGGTTATGATCGGTACAATGAGAATTAACAACTTCAGTTATATGCATTTTATATTTATGACAACATACAACAACAACAACAATAACAACCCAGTATAATCCCACTAGTGGGGACTGAGGGGGATAGTGTGTACGCAGACCTTACCCCTACCCTGGGGTAGAGAGACTGTTTCTGATAGACCCTCGGCTCCCTCCCTCCAAGAACTCCCCACCTTACTCTTGGGGTGACTCGAACTCACAACCTTTTCGTTGGAAGTGGAGGGTGTTCACCACTAGAGCAACCCACTCTCGTCAATATTTATGACAATATCTTAAGAATAAATAAGTATAATTCCACCTAGTAATTCATTCAGGCGTATGATAGAGTGCTAGTGCGATTGTGCGCCACCTTTCACTGGAAAATGCCGCGAGGTCGACCTCGGAGACATACAATCAGTGTGGAATTGAAGGAGTTACCATCGAAGGGTTCAATCACGAAGTCAGTAGAGAAATTAGACGAGGCAATTACAGTTATAGCTGAGGAAAAATCAATGGAATAGTGGTCAGCCCTAACAAAATATCTTAGGACCCCGCCGATAATAATGAGCGGACAAAACATATAGAGATTGATTGCCATTTTGTGAGGGAGAAGATCAAAAATGAATTGATATCCACTCATTACATCTCTACAAGAGAACATGTAGCAGACATGATAACCAAGGGCCTTGGTGTAGCTCAGCATCAAATGTTAATGTCTAAACTGGGAATGTTCGATGCTTTTCATTCTCCAGTTTGAGGGGGAGTATCAAGAACATTAGATAGAGTTGGTTGTTAGTTAGTGAAGAAACTAATTGAGGGACCTTAGTGTAGACAAAAGATTTTGAGGGTCATATTGTTAGAGAGGGTGAAGAGCACGTAATTCTGTTAAATAGAACAGTGCCCTCTAGTTGTATTCATTCTTCTTCTTCTACTGAAGCAAAAATGCTCCTTTTCTCTTCGTCTCTTCTCTTCATTTCTTCTTTTAGATTTCGTCAGATTCATCTCTAGATTCAATCGCATGCTATGAAACTTGATTCATAGAGTATAGATTCAACAAATTGACAACCTTGATGTTTTAGAGATTCATGCAAACAACAGAGTAAATATATCTAGCTAACCCATTTAGGTTTTTGGGGGAAAATGAGAGGAAAAAATGAATAAGAAAAGAAGTTCTATATAATAAAATAGAAATTGCAGACTGAACTTGGTGAACATGAGGAGAATACATCAATAGTTAAACTACCCTGCAACTTGCTTAAATGTAAAATAAAAGCAAATAGGACAAACGTAAAAAATATATTTGTTTTGATGAAAGTAGTTTAATAGGCTATCTCAAATGACTTCTAGATTGTTGATTGTAGAGTTAAGATCTTATTACTTGAAGCGATCCCTTTTAAAAACATATATACAATATTGTAGATAGATTTTGAAAACTAAATTTACATGTCTCGTACACCAGTTGGTAACTACGCTTCAATCCTCTAACTGAACAAGCTATTGCACAACATCTTCTAATTTAGTTTAGACAATCATGTAGACTTCTAATGGGAGAATCCCTCTTGACCGATGAAGAGTTTAGCAACCTTTCACATATATTTTTCCATTTCTAATTATTTCTATATATGGTATTTTAAGTATTTCACATGCATTTGGCAATTTTGAGTATTTCACTATACAACTCTAATTTTAATTTTTGGTATGATATTTTTTCCAAAAAGAAGAGACATTTGTGGATTTTGTTATGCTTTCCTTCAATTTACTATTCTAGGTGACTTTGAGCTGTATGGGCAAGCTGTCTTAGTGTTTTGACATTCTAATTTTTGTTGTCCGTTAAATGATTCGTGACTCACTAGCCATTCTTCTTTGTCTTTGACATTTTTGTTGCTGATCATGGTTCAGATGTTAATTTGGATTCACGTGCAGATTCAGATGATTTTTATTTTGTGTGAAAATCAAAAGCTATCAATGATGAAAGGGATGATAAAAAGAAAAATATGCAGCAGAATAGCAACCTAATATTAAAGAAGAGGCCAATGAAGTTCAATTTGTCAATAGCCATGGTTTGCAATGTTGTTTCAAGTTCTTGGCCGACACCCATGCATGAAAAGAATTATAAATGCTAAATATGTATTTGTATTTTTAGGAACTTGAAGAAGAAGGACATACCATCGAATCTCTCTAATCTCCAAGAAATATAAGAGAGAGAGTTTCTTTTCTTCTAATTCACTGTAGAATTATTTTTTCCTTTCTCAAGTAATTAAGTTAAATACCTACTGACTGTTACCATCAAAATATATTCCAAAATCTTTGTACTTATGTTGTCACATGTTCTACAGGAGTTACAATGCGAATATTGAAAATAACCCCCCAAAAAAAGACATTTTTGCCTAGCCAAAGTATGCCAGTCAGTAACTATTCAAAGAAGCAGCGTCTACGGAACCTGGGCGCAGCTACTCTTTTAACAGTAAATGAATCTGGCTGTCAAATGGAGAAATTGGAGGCAACTCTTCCTTTATTTTTTTGGTTCACGATTGTTATGCTCTCGGAACCGTGATGACGCCTAATATTTCACTTGCTAGGCAAATCAACGTTAGATATAATTATTAATCATTTTTAACAATCTAAATTAATTTATCACAATAAAGCTGAATAGTCTGAAATAGGGTAAAAAAACTAATAAACGACAAAATCCAAATACAATTCCAAAACTGGTGTCACGAATACATGAGCATGTAGAGTTCTACAAATAATAGTCTCAATAAAAACATAATTGTCTGAATCAAAATAAACAGCTAAGATGATATAGAAGGGGACTTTAGGATTGCGAACGCCATGCGACTATACTTCAAGTCTCCGCTAGTAGCTAGATCTGGGCGACCTCACTGAACGTTCTCGGAACCAACTTAGGTATTTGCACAAGAGGTGCAGAGTGTAGTATGAGTACAACCGA